AAATGAAAATTATCAGCGTCAGCAATTAAATCCTCGCTGTCGAGCGTGCCGCATACTTCGCCAAAGAATACAAGCAAACATGAGATATAAACGCGATTCGACACTTGCTTTTCGTATTAAACGAAAAAAGGAAATTTACCGACAACGATGTCATCGACTTATTAAGAAGGTATGATGTATTTATTTTTTAAATTGTTGTGTCGGCAACCTGTAGTCGTAACATTTGACGTAATATTAAAATTACTTCATATTTGTTACATATTTCATTTTAATATAATGTATTAAATTCCTAATTTATTAACTTCAATAAAATGCAGATGAACATAATAATTTCATTTCATTTTGAACGTATAATTTGTTACTAACTATTACCACAATTAAATAACTTTAATAGTTTTTTTTTATCATATATTTTATAATATTTCATCATTTTAAGGTTTAGACACCGTAGACTGCTGACCTACCATACTTGACAAAAAACTGATGTATTTCTCACTGAAATATTTAAAAAAAAGTGCAGTCATCTCAGTAATGATGGTCTGTATAAAGTTAAATGAATAATTTAATAATTTCATGATCCATTGTAATAAATGTTAATCGTAATTTGGAAGTATATTTTGAAGATTCGAGCCGCGTATAATAATTTATTGTATTATATTCGAAGTAAACTCTTGGCGTGCTGATTAAAATATAATTATTATTTTTCAGCAAGAGATATTGCAGCAAAAATTAATGACAGCCAAAAAACGGTGTAGTGAACGTTCTGAAAAAATTTTAAAAGAGCAACTGACGCAATTGCCAGAGTCGCAACAGCTTGCTGTTTGGAGTTGTTTTGAAGCTGCTAAACATAAAAAGGTCAAAGGCCGAAGATACGATTTAGAATGGATCTATGAATGTTTGTCAATCAGGATGAAGGGCAGGAATATTTATAATTTTATTCGGGAACGTAATATTTTACCTCTTCCACACATCGAGACTCTTAATAGATATATTCAAAAAATTAGTTCTTCGGCTTATGGATTTCAACCAGCATTATTTGACTGCATGAAACAAAAAGCACAAGGAATGACACTATCAGAAAGAAGAGGGACTCTTATTATTGATGAAATAAAATTAAGTGAAGCAATAAATTTTGATATCCAAAAAATGGAATTCTCTGGTTTTGTTAATCTCGGACAATACACTTCAGAACGTGAAAAAAATGTTCCAGGGGATCATGCATTAGTTTTTATGTATGTTCCTTTTCGTGGACGATGGTTGCAAGCAGTAGCGGCTTTCATCTCTAAAAATTGTGCTACCAGTGCTGTTCTGCATACATTAATTATTGAGTGTATAATTTTATTAGAAAGTGCTAATTTCTTTGTGGATGTCATTACAAGTGACGGTGCCCAAAGTAATCGTGGAGTGTGGACCAAGTTTGATATTTCAGAGTCCATAATATCTTGTCAGCATCCTTGTGATACAAATAGATAATTATTCATGATATCGGACTTTTCTCATCTAATTAAATGTTTGCGAAACAGTATTAAATTGACTATTAAAATCTCTAAATTAATAACATATTATTTAATATTGTAAAAAAAAAATTATTATATACGTGTTATAAGAAATGTATTTTCTCTATAATTTATATAAAATACATTGGATAAAAATTATATTTTAATATTTTCAATGTTACGTTATTCCTAAAAATAATATAACAATCATGGAAAGTGGTACTTATAAGCTAGATAATATAAGTTATTAAAATACCTAATAATTTAACATTAATATAAAATTTGAGTATACTTTAATTATTTTCAATTTCATTCAAACATTGTTCAATTCCTTCAAAAATAGGATTATTAATAATATAATTAATACTCTTGCTATAATAATGTTTAATTTTGTGTTTACTATCAATTTTTTTCTATACAAAAAGTAAATTCAATTTTTTTATATTTTTAATTATGTATTTAAATATACCGGGAATTTCCCCCTCTACCTCGGTAACTTAGCGACCACAGTGCACTCTGCCCGCGAACGTTATTTTTTCAAAATTCCGGCTCAACTTTTATACACAGAGTTTGGACTCCTGTTCTATAGTCTTCATGCTCGCAGATGACCTCAGTCATCCATATTGAAAAAATGCTCAATCCGTATCCAGAACTGATGGTGCCCTGCATTTTGGCGAGTAAATTCTGTATGTGTGTACGGGTAATATATGTATGTGATGTAAACATAGTGTATCACTTTACAATGCCCTACACTTTGATGACTATTGCAGTTAGGATAAATGAAAATGATGATACTCATTTAACATTAATTAATATAATACCTGCAAATGACTTCAAATACATATATTCATCCATTAGTATCATTTTTATTAGGTATAAATGTTAATAAGGAAGCTCAATTCCAAGTCGGCGTATCCAAGCATGTAGTGTAAAAACAAATATACATTAATTCAATATCGAGATTATGCTGGCCATGTGATTAGGGCGTCAGAGTTCTATTTTGCCGGGCAGGGTTCGATCCCAGTCAAAACCAATTTTTTTTTTCTACTTTATTCGTTAGATTAGCATGTAATTATAATATTGACATGCTATAATTAATCTTTTATAACAATTTGATTTTTTTTTCTCTTTATTCATTGAATTTATTGACGCTAAGTCGAAAAATATTTGAACAGAGCCATAAACTTTCTTTTTGTATAAATACATTGATAATAGCCTGTGTTTAACAACTTATACATCTTTACATGTATTAACAATGTTATGTTATTAACAAGTTAATCATATTATTATCAACATTGAAAAGTAGTTTAAACAATCCGTGGCGAGTTCCGGCACTTCGCTGGCAAGCTCTACCCCCACTCTCTATGCCCAAGCCTGCAGCTTATAATTTTTGAGCATATATAAATATTTTGTAATCATAATAGCTCGGTGGTTAGCGCATCGATCTTTCATTTTGATGGGCAGGGTTCGATTCCAGTCATGGTAGTTTTTTTTTTCTTTTTCATTTGTTAGATTTGCATGTAATTATAATATTAACATGCTAAAATGAATTCTTACCAACGATTTGATTTTTTTTTCTCAATTATTTATGTAATTTATCAACGTCGAGTCGGAAAACATATGAACAGGGTTATAAACACTTTTTTTACTATAGCTATATGAACGTAGCTTTTTTAAGCAATTTAGAAATATTTAGAAGTAGTTGAAATAATCCACGGGGATTTCCGGCACTTCGCCGGCAAACTCTATCCCTACCCTTCGTACTCAAGCCTGCATTATACAATTTATAAACATAAACATGATGTCAGAGATAATATGTTAGCTCTGTGAGTAGAACACCAAGCTTTCATTTTACCGATTAGGGTTCGATCCCAGTTATAGCCAATTTTTTTTTTCATTAAAATTTTATATAAATACAATAATTGGTTGTTTGTATAAGTTCAAAATCAATTCATAGTGTCTTTTAAAGACAACATTTTCTAAAAAAGAGAATTCATAGTAACTCGTTCCTCACCCTCAGCTTATTTTCAGAAAAACAAGTTTTTTTTCGTAATTAATTGGAAGAATAATGTAATAAAATATATGAATTGATTTATAAGTATATAAAGTCACTTGAACAAGAAACAGAAAAAAAAATTGCCTATGACTGGGATCGAACCCTGCCCAGCAAAATGAAAGGTCGGGGCTCTAACCACTGAGCTATTATAGTTCCAATTATATAAACGATGCTTGAAAATTATAAGCTACAGGCTTGGGCACAGAAAGTGGGGGTCGAGCTTGCCGGCGAAGTATCGGAACTCGCCGCGGATTGTTTAAACAATTTTTTATTATTAATAAGTTGTTAAAAAAGGCTATTATCAATGTATTTGTACAAAAAAAGGTTAATGGCCCTGTTAAAATATTTTCTCATTTGTCATTGATTAATTGAAAAAAAAATTTTACATAAAAATTGAAATTTAAAACTCATTTTTGGCATGATAAAATTGCAATTACATGCAATTTAAATAAAAAAAAAATTTTGCCGCAATTGGAATCGAACACCGTTCGGTAAAATAACTGGCGAACCTTCTGACTATAGAGCTAGCATATTTTCATTTGCTTTGTTTACGTTTAGATATCGTAAGCTTCAGGCTTAGTAACAGAGGGTGGGGAATGTGCTTGCTCGTCAACTGTTCGAACTCGCAGTCTTCTCTGAAAAATAAGACGGAGATAGATAGATATATTTTGTGCTCTGTCTTGCTCGGAACAGATTATTCTGAAATTTGTAAATTTCTTGGTACCCTAAGGCTCCCTTTTTGTAGTGCATCCCTGAAAATTATCATTTTTCGAACGATTTCTCTGTTACCTACTCAATTTCAATTGATATCGAGCTTCGGCTTTTCGCCGCACAACGTGAGGGCGTAAAGTCAACTCCGGGAAACTTTCTGACTTCAGCCCAGCCTTAAGAAATTAGGACTGGTAAGTTATCTTGCGTCGGTATAGTAGAAAAAAATTCAACTAGTGTCACTGTTTTCTAATAGATGACAGTAATTACACTGTTTTCAATCAAAAATTAAAAATGCTTATACAAAAAAAAGTCTTCTTTCTGGCTCATGTAATGTCATGTAATTCCCACTACATAAATAAGTATATTTAGGCTTATAATCTAATGATAATAACATTTTCATCTTAAATGTTAGCGTAATAACGTAATCCAAGTGAAAAAAATTTGAAAACTGAATTATTAAAAAGTTGAAAAACTTCAAAAATAATGTCTGTCAGTATTATTCTCTTCTTTAATAAACATAAACGATTTTCGTGCAACGAAAAAAAAAAAGTTTTATTACTTAAGTTTTTATAAAAATAAATCAGTATTTTTAATGAATACCTTAATTTAACTGAATTTAAATATAAATATAATATGAATATAAATTTATTAATAAATTTTAATATAAATCACTACTTAATTCAATTATTTTAAAATAAAATAATTAGGGTCAATTAAAGAATTCAAAAATCATTCCTGAAGTTATAAGTATAACTTTTATTTATATTTAAGAAAGTTTACATTTGCTGGTATCTCTTTAACTTTGGTTTTCTACACTTCCAAATTATGAGCCACGTTGTCTCAGCTCCCGTCGAATATTTGTGCGTTCAACTACTGCCTACAAATATTCTGACAATGTCATCCTATATATAAATTGATATTATCACAAATTATTAAAATTTAATATAAAATGATTGAATAAATTAACAAATTATATAAGTACCTTCCATTTCTCAAGGACTCTTGTAAATTATTAATGTACAAGTCAATTGTATGTTGAATTGCTCGAGAATGATTTTGTCGTGTAGTTTCATTCATTATTCTACAATATTCAATGTCACTGTCACAAATTATGTTTATTAATCGATCTGAAAAATGAAATTTAATTCACTACAGAATTATGAATATGTATAAATATATATATTAAATGTGTTTTAATATTTACCCAAAAAATTACTTTTTTGTGTTAAAACTAATTGTCGTGTGAACTAAATTGAGTAATAATAAAAATTTAATATGATCTTAATTTTATTTCTCTTTAATATATAATTTATTTGTGTGAAAATTTATTTTGTTTTTTAAAAAATATGTCATTAATGAAAA